TGATGTGAGTTGGAAAGACGAGATCCAGTTGTACTACTAACTATTTAATGAATTATAGGTGTCACGCCTAATGCTTTCTTTATCGCACAGAACACGAGCTAAGTAGGGTATGGTTGAGTTTTTGTACTTGCTGGTGCGAGCATATAGTTTTCTATATTGGCTTCTCGTTTTACCTGATGAGATGCGAGGGGAGAGTTGTGAGTGATAAGATTTCATTTTGACAAGTCACACAGTGTTACACTGTAATGTAACCTAGATTACTTTTTAGGTAGGTGGAGAGAGAGGTTGATTGCTGAATCCTTGTTCATCGAGTCTACACCCAATACATGCAATAGGAATGACTCATCACTCATACCAGATATATGGAAAATAACACTACCAATCAAATCAAGCGATGGAAAGTAAAGGAATTATCTAAACGAAGTTAGAAAGTTGTGTGAGTACCTTGATATGACTATGAGTGGCAATAAATTGTGCTCGAAACGTCATCAGTAAACATTACTGTATAACGCCGTGAGACTTTATCAAAACAAATTTTACCTATATTGGATTTTTCACACAGTTCATCTCATTTAAACTCGGTTTCATAAGGGTGCAAACCAATTTCGAAAAGAAAATCTGTCAAATACAATTAGTACCTGAATAAAAATCTCTTCATAATAAGAAAATTTTCATAATGATGTTACCTTAACTATGTAATCCTTCGCCTCCAGCACATATGTCCTCCTCTTGAAGGTAAACTCAATAGGTGGAAGGGTGTGTATATCATTACAGTTGATCACATAATCACCAGTGACGCTGAGTGTGGCACCCAGTTGAGAATTGATTCTATTCACGATTTTAGTAGGACCAACTATCAGGGATGTCCCAGTGTCCATGGCGGCGAAATATGTTTCATCGAAATACTCCATTCCATTTATTTTGATGCTAAATTCATTGAAAATTATATGTGAAAATCACTACCACACTGCTACAGATAAATTTTATCTCTGACACTAGTTGAGTAGGCTTTCGTGAACATTGAGGAAGACAGGCTGTGCTTAAGTTAATACGCTTCTCTATTTGATTTATCCGTGTATACAATAAGTGCATGGATTATGGTGAGATCATTTTGAGTCAGTTAACACCAATGACCTATACGTACCCAAAATTTGAATATATATTTCAATTTCACTTGAGGATTTCTACCTTCTACCGGCTTTTGATTTCACAAAGCCGCCTTACTCGGGCACATTTGAAGTCCATTGGTCTGTGTTTCAAGACAGCTCAGGTGGATAGTCTACTACAACACCACAGGCTATTGCCTCAAATTGAGTTAGATTTACAAATTTCGACTGAACAAGGCTGTGATATTAAGTGACTGGTTGCAGCTAGTAAGAAGCCAATTAAACTACACCCCACTTGATGTGAGCACTACTGGATAGGTGCACAAAAGAACGGCCAGCCTCCCAAGCCCAACGGTAATCAGATACGGTCAGTGTGACTAAATCAGAGAAACCGGAGTATTAGTTATCGTCAGTACACTCACAAGGTGTATCCAGAAGCGGACGTAAACAGTGTTTAATGCAGAGCATGATGAGTGCATTCAACATGCCCACCATTATGTAAAGATATGAAGTTGAACAGACACTAAAGAGCCGTTAATATGCCCAATCACAGCTTGTAAATATCGACAAAATTTCAAGAATAGCATTCCAACCACATCCAAATACCTTCGAACGCTTTTACGAATCGTTTATTTTGCCTTTGCGGTACTTCCAAAATTCCACTGAAAATACCCGTTTGCTATTAGTCTTGTGTAAGTGTATTCCTATTGACATTGACTTCGATGATTACAACTGGTAGATATTTATTGACTAAAAGGTATCATATCAGTATTCCTCAAACATTATTCCACTCAAATATTGAGATATTAATTAAACAGAAGGGCAAACTCTTCAAAAATAAATATTCCGGTCGATATTATTATCATCCTATATAGTATTAGTCTTGAGCGCCACGGTATAGGTAAGGCATCAGCTAGCTACTCACACATAATCTGTAGTCGACTCATCATGTTAATCAATTCGGTGAAATAGTTCATAGAACATGCAATATCCCCTGTACTGGTCCACCACACTCAAATAATTAAAGCTGTCCAAACACTTCATTTTATCACATCACCTATGTAGCAATAGAAAATAAATATTTGTACAAGTTTAATTTCATATATATACAAATTAATCACCTTTTCATTTGAACCACCCAACTAGTTTGAGAAGTTGCAGGTAGACTTTCGAATTCCCCTGTGAAGTGTTCAGGATTAATGCCACCTAGGACCAATTCCCCGCCAACGGGCTCACCATCTTTTCTAAAATTTACGTGAAATGCTGATGTTATTTTACTTTAATTTAAGCGAGTGAGGCAATACATTCAACTCCACTACATGCAGTGAATGACGCGAACAAGATTATCCATCGTCACTAAAATGACATAATTAAGTGTGAACCGGTATGAATTCCTGTTTTCGCTCAACACAAGCAGTAAATGCAAAGGGAGCATTGTTCGATGAATTTATCAAATTTCATTGCATCTCAACAGCTCAATACTCTTAATATAATGATATATATTTATATGATATGACATGTATATGAAGAGACTTTTGAGTGATAGCTACGTTTTTCGTACAGTCACTGTTTTATAGTTCACACGTTAGCACTGAAGTGGTGCTGATGAAAACAATCCTCATGACTTTGTTTCCTGGTAGCTTGAAACGAAGCGATATAATTTTATTTTGACCATGATGATAATTCTCAAAGCAGTCGTAATAACAGAAAGGAATGATTCCAAAGGGATATATCACTAAAATTTTGAGCTTCTGAATAAATCAAAGTGGTGCTAAGGAAAGTTATGTGAGGCACACGCATTAATCTGATGAAAACCTTAATAAAATTAAGTCTATAAAATTAGGCGAAATAACATAACTGACAGGACTGAGCAAAGGTTGACCAAAATTGAAAAAAGATCAAATCAAGATGAGTGTCATCACGACTAGAGATGTGACAGTTGGAAAAGGAGAGAAAATATCAAATGTTCAGGCAGATCAAGTCCACTGTAGGTTCAGTGACTGAGTTCAGAATTCAACATACGCATTACTATGTCTTCTTTCGTTTGACTGCTTATTTCTGCCCCGTTTCCCATGTATGCATTCCCTATCGCCCATATTGCTGCTAAGTGGTATTGTGTATGGGTAGTCGTGGTTTTCTACCAAAGATGAAGTGAAACAGTGACTTCCTTGTCATTTCTTGGAGGGAAGCGCGATGTTCTAATGGAATCAGTCTCCCATTTTCTTCTCTTTGAAGCCAACCACCTTATCAGTTTCTGTTACTCTGACCAGTGGTATGTTGATAGTGTTTTTTTATTCCTACTGATGTCTAGCTGTCAGAAGCAGGATATAAATTCTCCAATTTCGGGTCGAGAACTGTAGTCTGTCAACATCGTCTTTGGTACACTATGGCCTGCATTGATATCGCGAATCACTGCATTTCCCACAGTCTTCGTAGGTAGATAGGAAATCTGACGGAATTTACTTTTCATATAGAATGTCCCGTCACTACCAGTAGGCACCACTCACCATTGGATGTATGTGGAAAAAGTTTCAATAAGTCTACGCGTGTCACTAGACTCAACTGCACAGATGGTGACATTCCCCTCGAATCCATTCAATAAACAAATATTGCGGACAGCTTAGCAGTCTGCCAAAGAAACAAGCCAGAAACCGGGTTGTTTTACCTGATTCTACTGTCTGAACTGAGTCGAATCAGGTACACCACTGATGAGCTGGACCCCAAATGGGCAAAACGGGCTACCGCTGTTAAGATTAACCCGATCTGGGTAGCAAGTACTACTGGTCGATTTGAGTGATATGTAAATACCTGGATAGTCTATGCTTTACATCCAGAGACGATTTGTTTTGCCTACACCCAGATGTTGGGATTTGTGTACCATCTACTAGTGTAGGCACTAAGATATCACTACAAATGCTGACCACTGAATGGATATTTCACAACCACTTTTTATTTAGTCTCACCGGTAAAAACATTGTGTTGCTTATTTCCAGCAATCAAATTCATACACACCACTTCACGTTGATACGTCACACTTATTTTTGCCATCCAGAATTCTTCTATCCCATTCTATAAAAGTCTCTTCTTAATTTGTTGGTGAAGTGGAAAGACAAAATGATCAGATTATTCATTTTGCAGTTCGGGACGAATTCTGATCGTCCTTCGTCTAAAACTTAACCTCATATATCTCGACTTTATTTGCTGGACTTCCTGAAATCCTTCACGATCCACTACTGGACTCCGGCAGTTTGCATCGGTAGATTTTTAACTGCCTAATTTCCTGTCCTTAAAGCACTGTCAATCACCCATCACTCTATTTCAGAAATTCCTAAGAACCGGTTGTCGCATTTTTCCCTAAGTTTCGACATACGAACTCAATTCAGTATTTGTAAAAGATTTGATAAATTAAGGTTTGATCATCAAGTGCAAATAATTTGATATCGTTCAATAATCGAATCCGCACAAGTAATTGTTTTCACATTTGTTTACAATATATATGGGTACAAATATGACACAGTACACGTCCTGATCAATCAATACTGAAACGGTGTATGTCAATAATGCCATCTCCAGTTGGTTTCCATACCCACATTCATTGGCGTCACATAACATTTCAAATTGTTTTGTTCAGAATATAGTCATATTAATTTTGACCCGCTTAACTCTAATGTAAGTAATCTATTTTTGCCCTAAGGAAAACCGCTCATTCCCTGAGTGTCATTGTTTATTGGGTTGGAAAGATTGAAAAGCAGCCTAAATCATGTACCAATCAATTAACCAAGTTTGTATTGCATAGAAGTATTTACCTTATTCATACGTCGGAGATGGTTTACTGACTGCCTAATAGTAAACTATAAGGAAATTCCAACAACTTATTTCCCACTGCAAACTCACCGACTCAAGTAGAAAGAGAACACTGCATCCATCTCCTTGTTTTCAGCAAACATGTTTGGAACTACAGGAATATTCCCATATGGTGATATGTTTCGGCATGACATGCCAATTATTCCATCATATTGGTTAGTGAGGAAGTCAGCATTAAATATATTTGTCACTTGAGCAAATGCTTGCTGGTGAATAACCAAAGAATTTATCTAAGGAGAGGTTTGATTTGGAAACACAAGTACCTGAATAGTGTCCATACTCCAAAATCCATAATAACTACTGTCCATATAGTAGACCTCAAAATTTGTGCCATTTGGCTTATAAGTGGATGATTTTGAGCTATCATAAAACCGAAGAACCCAACACAGAGCATCAAGAGGCCAACAGTTTCTTGAAGGAAACCATGTATCAGTTGATCCAGTGTCGAATAAGACACGCAGTTTTTGAGGCGGAGTTCCCACCATCACTTCACCATAATACTGAAACTGAAAGATAATCACCTGTTAGTAATTTAATTGTCGACATAGTTTTAAAGCAGAGAAGATTTGTTAAACGTTTCACCTGTATCAATTGTTGTTGTAGAATGCTGTGAATGAACATTTCTGTGTGCTAAATATACGATCTACTTTCTGAAGAAAACCACAGAGCAATGCACCTATTTGCTTCTGATTATTATACACAGCATGCGCATTTATACAGGTGAATCTTCATAAAATCAGTGTTGGTACCAATAGTTGAAATTTATTTCATTCAGGCATTCAAACACAAAGTGTGATCTTATATTTTAACTTCACAACATGAAGCAAACAAAATAAAATTACAAGAGATTAGTTGTTGAACAAAGAATATTCTTTCCAATAAATTCATCATTAGGTTGTTAGACTGTCAAGGTAATTGCAAACGACTTTTGGAATTCTGATCTAAATGATTCTATGTTACCCTCTGTAAAGCAACTATTTTGTCAGTAGCAATCATTTTCTCACTGCTATGGATAAATAACTGCAGAACATGATGATGAAGTTATCGAAAGCAATATTCTTTGTTCAGCAATCAGTCTTTTCAAATTTCGAATGGGCACACTTAATCAATTAAAATAAAATTAATAATCAATCCAGGTTACCTACATTTTCGTAATTCTTCAGTTGTTCGGCTGCGGGTGTGTTGTCATCTTTCCATAAATTCATCCATAAGTTTTGTAATGATTTTTGAAATATTTTCAAATAGCTTAATACAGAGTCAGCCTTGCTAACTGGATGGAGCTGAACTCTAACACTCTCAGCATTCAGATGGTGCAAGCAAATTGCAAATATGATTAGAATCATTTCGATGACTTCAACGCACCACATTCATTCATTTTATTTATCTCAGTTTTATCCTATTCGCACATCGTTCTGTCGACGCTCTTGTGCACACCTAATTCACAGTATGTATATATATATATATACATATATACGAAGAAATGAAATGATTGGCGACATTTAGTGTAACATCTTTCTGTTTGTAGTTATTTGTGAAATATATGAGAGATTTCGTACAATTATATTCACGAGCTAGTAGTTGTCGATTCGGAGCGTCTTCGGAAATAATAAGATCTTAGGATTAGGCTCCTTGACATCACTTGTCTCAGATATAGATCCATAGGTGTATTGGAAAGTAACAGGAACAGAAACCACTCCCCTGTATATCATTCTCACTGGATTTTATTAATTCGAACGTTACTTCCAAATTTAATATGTTCAGACTAAGTTCACATTTGATAGGTTGAAAAAATGAAAAACCGTTTTTTTTGTTTTTGCTTGGATGGGAAATGTAAAAAAAATTTATATTCATGAATTATCGAACTATATTTAATGGATTCATTATGCAGCAGTCTGAATGCATTTGTCAACTGGTTCATGACATATTTCTTCTAGCCTTTTGTGAATTCATGGTTTCCATTACAGAAGTAATCTGTGGAAACTTAACATTATTGAGACCTAAATCGCTTATGCTTTATGCCATAAGTCAAATTCACAATTGTCAAATCAATTTGCAATTTTACAATTGTGAATTCTATTTATGGTACCATCAGTTCGCCTAAGTAGCTAACCAGAAAGGGGATGTTTTGAACTGATTCGTCTGTCTGAGCGGAGTCAAACCATGTGAGCTCACCCACAACCAGGGAGAAAAGTCCTCCGTCATTCACTTCACTTTGATCTGGCTGGTGAGCACTACTTGTTGATTGATGTGATCGGCGGAAAACCTCTCATCTCCACTATTAGCAGTACATGGTACACCCCATCGTTTGAGGGATATTTAACATACATACAGCAGTTAGAAGAAGATAATGACTCCGAGTATTAGCTTGAAATTAGACAGCATAGTTTAGGCAAACAGGTTCTTTCAACTACTCCTAAAAAACCTTAACGATGTCTTTCTGTCCAAATAAACACACTGTTATACTGACATGCTCGTAACGACGAAATTTCCGATTGGTGATCACTGTGGTTTTGTTTGTTGTAGGTATATTATTACAAGATATTTCCAAATCATGACAAATATAAGCATGCTTTATGAATAACAAAATATATACTGTATATGTATGACTGTCTTTTGAAAAGATATCTGCTTTGCATAATTTCGAAATTCCCTTTAAATATTTATAAAAAGTATATTTTAGCGAACAGATATTTCCAATAAATTCGTCTTCAATCTTTTCATTTAGAAATTAGCAAATATTTTAATGCAATAGTGGGTGAAGACCTAATTGGAGTTAAATGAGGGAATGTGATAAACTAGATAAAATCGAGTTTTTGTGTAATATGAGATAGAATGACACGCTATCACTTTTGATAATGAATGCTGTCCCGTGTGCTGAGTGTAGTTGACCTCCACATTGATATGAATGCAATAAACACATGTCTTGCTTTCTCGTTTCGATCATGCTTAGTCTTGCCATCATCCACCATGTGTCCTTTGGTTGAACTGACACTGTTCAGTTCAGGTAAGTGAAGGAGATGACTTTGTCTACATTTCTCTCATAAGTGGTGACTAGTGCTTCATGTTTTCGATGGGATATCTTCATTCCCACTGACCTCTGTGTTCACTTGAAGGTCTGTATTTACTGACTGTTCAGCTAATCTGTTGGTTTCCACTTAAATTATGGAACTCTGATATTTTCCTTCAACGATCGTAATTGAGCTTCATCAGGAATATTAACACAGTCAAAATGTGATGAGATGTGAAGCTCGTGGTGGACTTGAACTCAAGGAGTGAGGATTTCCCATTTTCAACAAATTTACATCTGACGACTTTAGTTTTTATAGTGGGAATTTCTTCCATTTCACCATATTAACCAAGTATTACATTGGATAATGATCACAGATCATGACAAGTTCATTGTTACTTAGATAAAATTAAGTACGGAAACCAAAGATAGTCACAATTAATTCAAAACTTCATCGTAGTGACACCGAAAATTATAGTGATTAGGAATTGGTAAAATTCTAATACTTGCAAAATAAAGAATGAAGCATTCAAGTTGACTTCGACAATCGTTTCAATATAAACAGAAGTGTACGTTTCATGTTCTCAACCCCTATTCATAATTGTCGGCAAATGGACGAGGGAATAGATGTCCTGGATATGTAATAAGAGTTGGTTACGAGTGGATCATTGACGACAAATTCTGCCGTAAATTCATATGAACTATATCCGGTGATGAAAAATAATTTCCTGTGAACCGAAACTATTGATTGAACACAGGTTAGTAAGTAGTGTCATGTGTCTAGTCCTCTATTTGGTGCAGACTGGATTCTAATAGTCACGTTTGCAATGTGGCCATCATCCTAGGTGGCTGACTGTCACCTAGAATCTCAAAAAGGGCACGAGTTCCTTCACGGTTGCAGATAGACTCTGCTGACGTTTGCCAACTAGTACGAAACGTAGTTCCAAGGCTTCCAGCCAATTGCCTCCAACCATCCAATACCAACGAATCGAAACTATGGAAGGATGATCAAGGCAAATGGACTTCCAATAATTAATCCTAGCTTTTAAATAATGTTTCTAGAAATGCACCAGTGGAAACCAAAATGTTGGCAGAAGAAGCAGCAAAACTGGACTTAAAATGAACATAGAGAAATTAGAGGTGATAAAGATAATCAACCAACAACAAAAAGCACCAATCACTATCGATGGAAGAAGTTCGAAAGAGGTAACTTCCTTCACTTATCTAGGCAGCATCGTCTAAACTACAGATGGCAATGATGAGGGTGTCGAAGGTAGGCTCAAAAAAGTAAGACCGGCATTCATTAATCTGAAATCGGTGAGGAAATCTACTGCACTCGAAATTAGGAACAAGATCTGGATCAACCTCAGTGTTAAATTACTTCTTTTATTTATTTCAGAAACTTTGAAAGTCACGAAACGAATTCCCGATGGGGTCAAGAGACACCAACAGAAGCCTTCGCTCCATATAGATGATCAGATGTCCAACCAGAAAGGATAAGTAACTGGGAATTCTGAGAGGGAACCAACGAAGAAGCTGCTGGCCATCAAACATGCTGAAGAAAATGTAGATGCATCGGACAAACTCTGAGACGACCGTTGAGTAGCATTGCACACTAGGCCCTCGAATGGAAGGTGAATGGGAAATGACGAGTTTTGCATAAGTCAGAGAATGACAAGTAGAAGGTTGTGTGAGAAGCAGACAAAAGCTTATGGTCAAACGCGAAGTCAACCAAAGAGGACTTCAGAGGAGAGGATGAAGTGGAGATGCGCTGTTGAAGCATTAAGACATACATTACCAACAAACACTGTAAATATCGTTTATATTTATTTTGTTCATTTATCACTATTTTAACGTTTTACTGGCTTAGATGAAGTGATACAATCTTAATATAGGTTTTTATTGTGATCTACATTATACCACTGTTGGTCTGACACCACCAAACAAGGATCAATAACTCTCAATAAATACAGAATCCATGGAGAAAATTCCCCTTCGTTCTAAGTTTTGTTGTTCGTCGGATAGTACTGGTGACACATACTGTTTGATGAAGCTTGCATAGTGAACAATTTGGTGGTTCTTACATAGATAAAAAACTATCTAAGGATTTCATACACACATTCTAATGACTTTGGTTTTCATTCCGTAAATTATTCTATAAGGTACACAACCTCTTTTGTTGCTTGGATTTTAACCACTACTATGATCATAGTTATTTTGTCGCAGTTCACATTATTATATCAAAAAATCTTATAAATACATATATGTATATAAATATATATATACATACCATGTTATAGGTGGATAATAAAATCTTTATCCTATTTTATATGTCTCAGTCAGAAATTTTCGTGAAATCGTGGAATTCATGGGCCATTTGATCGGACCTCAGTGGCTCGGTACTATACGACCTCGCCGTTTAACCAGAAGGTCCTGGGCTCAAGCCTCAACAATTGCGTTATACTGAAGAGTCCCAATCTAGGACAAAACGGCTCTGCCGTACTCACACACTTTCCAATGCTTCTCTAACTGATGTCGACTCGTCATCAATCCTGCAACTGATCAAATCAATGCGGAGCAACACTTGATAATAAATCTTAAATAGTCACTTCGCTAGCAAAGTAATAAATTTGTACTAACCTTAAATACTCAAACTAATTTATCTGACTACAGGTTTCACAAATAAAATTCAGCTTGTTACATGGCACTTAAGGAAATTTATTTTGTGAAGTTTAGATGCTGAAATATTTCGTTTATCAGTGAAATAATTAGGCCTTACAATTAAATTCACTTAAATAATATAGTCTACTCGAAAGTAGTATGATTTCATCGCACAAAACCTGAGAATGGTCAGTTTTTATTGTTTTAACCTACAGGGAGAACTAAACTGTAATTGTACACTTAAACTATAATTATATACACATATTTGTAGATCACCACCAAAATTACATAAAAATTTAAGTAAGGTAGCACTTTCGAATAGTATTTGATTATCATTTAGTGGATAGTGGTCAGCTGTGAAATCTACCTGTCTACTGTGCGTCTGTGGCGTGTCACGTAATTGTCTCCACTGTGTGTAACTCAAATCTATTCCATTTTCACTCTGTATACCTGTCAAGCAGCAGGTTCTTGGTTAGTTCACTGAACTGCCACAGTTCTTTGTTTTTCTATTCTCTCCGGTTAACCATCTACTCTTCAGTAATAATAATAATAATATATTCTCATTTTTTTACATGAGGGACGCCAGTTTACAGGCATCATCAATTCGATAAATAACACATACAATTAGTAAGTATAGTTAGTAGTGATAATATAATAGGGTACATATTTATTCATACAAATATAGGACACACAGTTTGTGTAGGAATGGATAAGAATCATTTAAGTTACATATTTAAATTACATGGATTACGGTTAAATAA